AAAAATAGCTAATAAGTGTAGCATTATCTCACTTGATATCAGTTATAAGTTGCCAAAATTATAAAGCATATAATATACAGATCCATTTTCTTCTTGTAAAATATAGATCTTGTTGGTTGCAACATGGGTTGTATATTGTTTTTTATATATAGATCAAAACTCTACCAAAAAAGCCTCTAAATTATCTAGTATTGGATGTCATCATTTAAGAAAGATGAAAGCTGTAATAATGCTAAATTTCAAAGAAGTTTATTGATAAATCTAACTTATGATCTTGGAATTAGATAGCTTTGGGATTGAAGTTCAATTACAAGTTGTATTTAATTGATAAATCTTCAAAACTTAGATCTTGTGCTATCAAACTTCTCAAGTAAGGCAACTCTTGGTTTTCTAGTATTATAAGGATATTCCATCATAGGAGAAGGAATAAGATTTGGTGTAGATTTGAAGCAGCTCTAATCATGTCTGTATCTTCACTTCGTACTATTTTTGTTGCTCTAGATGGTGATAAACTGAGTTGATACATTGCAAGCATCAACTCCCTCAATTGCTCTTACATTTATGCCATTCTACTCTTCATTTCAAGAAGCATTGCCATGATGACACTTAAAAAAAAAATGTCTAATATCGCTCAAAATAAGCAAAAGAAAGGACTTGAGAACAAAGAAGATACTAAAAAGAATATTAGTTTACAAGAAGATAATCCCCAACTTCTAATATACTTATGTTTTATTGAGAAAAAGAGATAATTCACTCTTAATCAAGAAAAGACAAAGCTCTAATATTGTAAGGGTAATATGAACTCCCTTGTCAATCTGTCAAGAATATGAACTGGAAAAAAATGGATAAATTTGAAAAATTTGTGTCAAAAGAAAAGTGACAAAATAAAAATAAAGAAACTAAAATGTATATTAAAAAGAAACTAAAATGACTATCGCCAAAAGACAAGGAAACTAGAGACTCTTGAATCTAAACTAGAAGCAAGAAAGGAATTGACAAGATTGAAGAGGGCTTTACTCTTGCCTCTATATGTATTATCTAACTACGAGATACATAGCAATATTCTATAGAACCCTTAATATGTATTGATTTTACAAGATACATGTCTTAGCTTATAAAGCAAGTTTTCTATGTGTGGGCCACATAGTTAGCTTGTTCTTTAAGCTACCAACATGTGTGGCACATGGCTAATTGGTTGAATACATTTCTAACCTAAAAAGACAATTATAGACACTTATAAAGTCAAAACAATATCTATGAAGCTTTTAGGAAGCTTTTATAGAAGATATTATAGAATAAACTTACTTTTATCTATTTTTATCTAATCATATAGGTAATTATTGGTTTACATGTATATATCCATGATAAGTGACCAAGCTCATTTAAATTAATTTTTTTCTTAAATAAAATTTAAATATTAATTAAACAAAATTTAAATATAAATATTATTTTAAAATTTTAAAAAAAATTAAATAGAAAATAACATTAGATACATCATTTTTACTTTGTTAGTATGAAATTAATTGATAACTAATATTACTTGAAGTAATAACCATCTATAATTTTTTAAATGGTTCTATGTAATAATTTTTTAAAACAATTGTACAAGCATATTTTTGAACTCTACTCTATTTGTATATTATTTGTAAAAAATTACAAGGGAAAAATTATCTTTGAAGCACATGTGCTTATTTTATGTCCCATTGACTTATAGTTGCTACAAAAGTACATTCTTATTCTTACTTCTATAGACTCAAACTATGTTGTAGATTATTGTATTAATATTTTTGCATGTATGTCACTTCTGGTTCTATTTCTTATTTCTTGTGGTCTTTCCTTCAAATGACTCACTTGTGGATTTCTCAATTGCATAGTTATTGTTGAAAGCTCAACCAATATTTCACATAGTTTCTCTTATTGGTGAAGAGATAAAATATCAAAAGTTTGACTAACAGCAATATAAAGTAGATATAAGCTATCAAAAGAGAATGGAACTATAGGTGCTATTGGAATAAACTAGTCAAGAATATTTATTAAGTAGTATTGATGATAAAAATCACTAATTGACAAAATATTTCTTCTTCTCAATAAAATTCTTTTTTGATCCTTATATGATAGACCTAATTTATTTGTGATTGTTCTTAAGCAAGATAAATTTTATTTATTAATTTTTATTCTTGCTTGTTTATATTGTTGAAAGATATGATTAAAAGCACATAAAGATATACGTTTTATAATATTGGTGAAGAAACCAATATTATGTTCATGAGCAATATGGATTTATTTTGAACTTTCTTAAGCCTTCGATTCTCTTGTTGTATTTTCAAAAAAGTGAGAGAGAGAAATTTGAACTTTTCTAAAATCTTTGGTAGAAACTTTTATATAATAGTTTAATGCTAAATGTTGACCATCTGCTTATGATGTAGTAACACTTTTGAAGTGAAGTAAATTATTTGTCTAAACTTTAACAAATCTCTTTTTGTGTGGTATCCAAATATTCTTTAAGTATTCAATAGCTATATGAGCAACAACACGGATGTATTTGTTGCAAAGGTTACTCCACTTCAAATCAAAAAAATCTATTAAACATGCACTAATCACAGTGGTCCAATCTACAAGAAATAAAGACCATCCTTACTCTATTTTGTTTGAAAAGTATTTTTTGCAACTTGTTAAGATATTTTGTATATATACCAAATATAGAATAATATATTTGAAGTAAGAAATATTAATTCAATGGTATTTATTAATACTAAATCTCTATCAATACCTATGCAAATGGGTCAAATTTGTCCATACACTTCATAAAGTTGAATTAATATCCAATAAAAGAAGGATTCTATTTCCTCTTGGAAAAAAGTAACATAATAGTAAATGAAGTATTGAAACTTGTCATTCCTACAACATGTAACATTGGCATTCTAAATCTATTTGTTTTGTATGTGCAATCCATGACAATGGAGAAATGATATCTTTTTGCAAGTTGAACATAGTTAGAATGTGCAAAAAATAAAGAAGTAACTTTATCTTCTTGATATCAAGAATAAGTGTCAGGGACAAGAACTCGATGAAAGCTAAAGAGTAAGTGAGACTTTTTTCAAAAAGAAATAGGACAAAATAGAAATATGTATATTAAGAAAGAAACTGGAATGGCTATTGCCAAAATACAAGAAAACTAGAGACCCTTGAAACTAGACTAGAAGCAAGAAAGGAGTTGACAAGAGTGAAGAGGGCTTCACTCTTGCCTCTATATATACTATCTAACTAGAAGCCACGTGGCGATGTTCTATAAGACCTCCAATATATGTTGACTTTCTAGGCCACATGCCTTTGCTTGCAAGGCAAGTTTTCTATGGATAGACCACGTAGTTAGCTTGTTCTTTAAGCTTCCAACATGCGTGGCACATGGCTAACTTGTTGACCAAGTTTCTAACCTAAAAGTCAACTATAGACTCCTATAAAGTCAAAGCAGCGTCTATGAAGCTTCTAAGAAGCTTCTCTAGAAGATATTACACAATTAACCTACTTTTACATACTTTTATCTATTCATATAGTATGTCCGTGACAATAAGTAAAATGGTAATTACTTCTTTGTAAAGTTTTCAAAAGACATATAATAGGTGATCATCTAGCAAGTGCAATGCAATGTAATTTTTGTTTTTCATTGTAAATAATTCAAGCAATAACTTTTCTATACAATTTCCTCTCTTTTGTCCACTACACACAATTTCAAAAAGAATATATATTAAAATAAGATGAAGAAGTAAATTTAGTACACACATAATTATAGGGCAAGTAGTAGAGGAGCAATAGAAAGACAATATTACTAGCCATTAAAAACTATTGAGAACCATTGGAAACTATATCTAGAATGATGTTTTTGTTTATCTGAATATAGATTATGGTCTTAATGATGAAGAAGATTTGTACTATTTATGTGCAAAATTGTGATGATGGGTGGGTTGCTTTGGTAAAATTTTGGATCATTTCATCATTCTCTTATGTAAATATATATATATATATATATATATATATAAATTTATAAATATATATATAAATTATAAAAATTAATCTTATTATTTTATGTATTATTTAATATATATTATATTTTTTAGATTATTTTCAATTTTAAAATATATAAATATCATAGAATTTTATTAATAATAATAATAAATTTCTAAATATTATATACTATTATTTTAAATCAATGCAAGATTTTTACTTAATAAATATAGATACTTTATAAAATCCTCTAATCTAAAAAAATATTTATAGGATCATATTAAATACATAAAATAAATATTTTTTATAATTTGAAGTCATAATAAATCATTATAAATTATAATGTGTATTAGATTCAATACAAAGATAAAAATTTGGATAAAAATTTAGTTTATAGTGATCCAAAATTTACCTTTAAAAACATTTAAAAGACTTGAGTGATGAAGATAGTAATAATAATAACAATAAAACCATACTTTTTTCTTAGGAGAAAATATGAAACTATATTAGTAAATAAAGAGAACTATCAATCATGTGAAAAAATATTCAATTCATATATACTAAAAAAATAGATAAAATAATAATAATAATTTTAAACTTGATTTAAAAATAATCAAACAAGGTTGTTTGAAAAATGAAACCTAAGTTAAAATAATTCACTGCAAGAATTTTTTTTAAAGGATATAATATTTCTGAAAAATTACAGAATCTTCAAAGTCCACTATACTATGAAAGCTAATATTTCAAATAAGATTATAAACAAATTTCGAAGTTTGTTTTATGATTACTTTCCGTTAAGTACCCCATTACCGCGAGGAAACGATTGGAGAACCATGACCAACGAAAAGTTGGATGAACGAGGAAGTCTAGGAAAGAACGAGGATGAAAGTAAATGAGCGAATAAAGCGACGGATGAACAGAGATTAACGGCGACTATGGATGAATACTAACGAATGAAGGACGCTGCGAGGCTATTGTGAGGCTTTGCGGGGGAAAGGAGTTGAGCTGCAGCGCCGGATTCGAAACTTGGAGGCTCGCCAATTGCGACGATCGATGCCTGGTGCTGTTATTCCGCCAATGCAACCGGCATTCTCTGTAGTGCACTTCGAGGTGGCTCTCGGTTCATCCTCTGGGTTCACATTATTCGGGGATTTTGGATCTTTTCATGCAGTTTCTTGAGCCATTTTTGTGTTCTTGTGTTTTTTTTTTTTTTTTTTTTTTTTTTTTCAAAAAACTTCTCGGGGGAGGATTGGTTAGTTCTATCGCTAAGAAGTAGAGGCGTGGATTCTCCAATTGCGGGTCCAGATTGTATTGCGATACGAGGCATCATTTTAGATGGTTCATCCTCTTAAGGTGTTGCAATTGAAAGTGAGTTTGAGAAGTTGTAGACTGTTTTGCTTTAATCTTCTGGGGAATTGGTTGACCCTGGAAAGAAGACAAGACACAGAAGCTTGGGGATGCTGGGCGAGGGGTTGTGTTTGGTGTGTGCTCAGTGGCGTCACATTGTTCATTTTGCGTGCAATTGGTCGTGTGAAACAAAAGCGAAGAAGGTCACTATTTGTTTCTGGACCTGAAGACAATGAGCATTTGGTTGATGCTTCAAAGTATGACCGGAGAATTCTGATCTTCTGTGCTGTGAAACGTAGGACTGGTACGCATCGTCAGTTTTTGAGATCACCCGGATACGCATCTGGTATCTTGAAAGCTGATGCGATTACAGGAGGCTATCAGTTCAACGGGACGCTTATTTTTAATGGGATTAGCGACGTGTATCCTGTGCCGTGGATTTTGCGAACTGCAAACTTCTTGAAATCATGGATATTAAAGAACGATGTCTTGTCCGTTTGTGCGGAAGAAACCGAAATTCTCATTGTCATTCCTTAAGAGCAATTAGGGGATATTTGTGTCATGTCTCTTGATTGTCTCACTTCAGTCGTTTGAAAGCTCTGGTTCTAGACGACAGCCTATCTGTGTACTTGAGTCGCTTGGAGTTTCCTGCATAGAAATCCTTCTTCAGAGCCCCTTCTCTTCTTTTTCTTCACACGAGTCGAAAACAATGCTTGTAAATGTTGTTTTCAGCAATGTCTTACTTACATATCCTACTCACACATAGGAGTCTTCAGGTATTATCACTTAATTTTTTGATATCTTACTGGGTTTGTCCGTTTGGGGCTACATTTTTAAGAATTATGGAGGACCCAGTTGGAGCGCAACGGCCAACTCAAACCGTCAGTGGCAATTTGGACAATTGCCGCTCTTCCCTGGAAAATCATGGACACTCAGACTCAAGTAACTATTCTTCTGAAATCGGAATCGAATCATTTGACAGTTCTGAGAGAACGTTCTTGGCTTCTCCCCCTTAATCCCGACGTACTCTATCGCAGTCGAGAACATTCAGTATCGAGAAGGGTTACCTTCTACCCGATGCAAGCCAATATGAGATCTCGACCGCAACTGCGCAGCCGTCGAATCATACCAACGATGCAGTCATTCTGTACTCGCTACAGTCATTCAAGCTTCTCACCAAGCAAGTGCGAGAGAAGCCACACGGAGAAGATGGTTTGGTGATATGTAATTTTTCTGAGCATTCAACAACTCTAGCCATGGAACGGCCATCGCTAATAGTCGTAGCCGACAAGCAACCTTTACCCTCAGTCAACAAGGATTCTCCTAAGATATCTAGAATTCGGAGAAACTCCGTTGCTAATAATTCTGAGATTAAGACATCACAATGTTTGCAGAAGGGAGAGATGAAGAAGGAAGATGCGCAATCAGTCGGCCATGTGGCAAAAGTAGCCAGTAAAGTTGCAGTGATATATAACGGGGAAAAGAAATTCACGACGGGACCTGTGGACATAGCACTGAATAGATATGCGACGTCCGAGGGTGATGCCATTCTTGTGGTGGCATTTCTGGAACATATTCTGAGCCCTAGTGAGCTACTTTCACTCAGTCCCCTGCTTTTTTTGATTCTTTGAAGACAGCTTTGTCTGTGTTGCCAGTAATAGCAAATGGAAGTGAAAATGATATCACTGATGATGAATTTGGAGAAATTTTTGGATACGTAGATATGGCGACTGTTTGCTGGAGATAAACTGACAAAGAAACAGAAGAAAAGGGAATAGCGCTGAAGATTTTTAGATTGATAATCGCAGTGTCATGATTACATTGCTCTTGCAGTGGGTTTGAGGATGGTGGCAGACCTGCAGCTGTTCAGCGGTGTCAATGAAGCAGTTCTCAAACAAACAATCATTATTATGAAAAAAGACCTCGAGACTAAGCTCGACAATTGCTTGCAAGTGTGTAGAACGAAAAAGGTGGAAATACTCACATTCTCCCATTTCTTTTAATGATGAACTCTTCGAAAGGATCTGTTACGTTTTTTAGATATAGCTCCTATAAAGACGTTTCCAGGCACTTTGCATCTTAAGTTGTGTAATATTCAGGAAGTTGACTGTCGCGTCTCTGTGTATTCGGATCAACGTTGTTTTGCTCTTTATGACGTTTGTGCCACATTATTATGCGTTGAACTGGATGTGTTCAATTGTGGAATTTCAGATCCTTTAGGACGTCAAGGTGTTGCCAGGATGCAATCCAAAAGCACTGGTTGCGAAGGAGATTATAGATTTTCAAGCCACATCAGTAATCTTTGACAAGTATGCTTATTCGCACATTGTATCGTTCATGATATGTAGATGGCGAGGGATCCTACTTGTAATTCCACCTTATGTTTATAACGCAAAAAACTGGGTGGATAATTGTTTTCTTCCGATTGGAATTCTGACATCATTTCATGTTTTAGGAATGCAATGAAAAGCAGAAGGTATTACGAGGACAATCTTTCCTGCCACATCCTACGACTCCACAGTGACGGTCGCAGGGATCAGACAGTTTCCTCCTTCGACTCTGATTCTTCCGCTATGAATTCTGAGCTTGCCGCCACTCCCTCAATATCGTCAAAATTAAAGCTCTTTGGTTCCAAGCGCAGTAGGGGAACACGACGCCGTAGAGAAGGCTATATTCCAAAGGGCTCAAAAGCCACGTCAAATCGTGGGTCTCCTCGAGCTATTCCCAAAACAGTTAAAGATATTGCTTGGTTTAGCAGCTCAAAGCCAAACCCAGGTACATGTCCAAAGTTGAAAGCGTCTACAGAAGTGGATGAAGTCGGCCCACAAATGAAAAGAAGCGGAGGTTCTTTAACTGCAGCCTCGGTTGTTTCGTAATTCAGTCATCCTCGTCACTGCAGCATTCAGCGTGCCTCGCTTTGTTCTGAGAACATTACCACTGAAGATCAGCCTTTGGAGGAGGGGGTTCAGTATTATTGACTAGGGTATCCACACCGCTGGAGTCTGCATTCTGATTCGACGTACTGAACCCCCAGAAGGACCAATGGCAAAAAACACGTTCGGAGCCTTTAAGATCTGATGAATCTTAAGCAAGCAGCATCATCAGTGTCGTAGATTTCTCTCGACCAAGAGAAGTTTCTGTCCCTCCCCTTCAACCCCTGACCAGCTAGCGAGTAGTTAGGCATTCGAGTTTACACTGCTGTATAATCCAAATGTGCAAAAAACAGGATTTAGTGTTCATTAACCATGGAAAAGTGGACACAGCAATTACTTGAAAATGGTACTATGTTTTATATTTCTAACATTGCAAAAGAGCTGCTAGTGTAGGCAAAGCAGTTAACAGAAACCCCACATTCGATAACCTTTCTCTATATTTTAAATCTCCATTGTTAACATGCAACTCAAATACTGCTCGTTTAACTTCTTAGCAATCTGAATGCAATGAGCATTCATGGCGTTTATGAAGTTCTGAGAGAAACTTTTGAAGATGGGCTTTCAAACTTTTCCACAACTTTGAAGTGGAGGCACTTTTTCAGTTATACAAATTACTTTTTTGTGATGTTACTATCAACAAAAATTTAGTAGATTGTAAACAAAATCGGGCAGTGCATAAATTCACACTGAAATCAGCTAATTCAAGTTCAAAAGCAGATTAACGAACTATTTGATGTAATCACATTTATTAACCCTCTATTTCATTCTATTTCCGTTATCAGTCTTGACATTCTTACCTGTTTTCATGAAGTAAAATAAATATATTTGCTTAGGTGCACAACTGATTATAGCAATTTATGGCTTGTTAATGATGAATATCTAAGTTCAAGCCTTCATTACTTTGGATCAACAATATTTTTGTGCATTGAATTTGGCAAAATATGGTATTTTGAGATTATGCAAAAAATCATGCTTCACTTCCTAAATTTGAGATTTAATACACATAAATAAAAGAATGAGAAATAAAAAAGAAAGGAAAAAAGAACGCAAACACAATTTGTGTACTAACAAAATGTAAAACATTTATATTCATTAACATTTGATGCAATTAGTTTATGTCTTTAAATTTCAAATGTGTCCAAAAAAGATATTTTAAAATCCAACATCAAGTCAATAAAATATATAAAATTAAAATAGTTAAAAGTTGATTTGATTTAGATTGAAAGTCAAAGCATGTTTTTATTTTTAAAATTACATCTTAAATTTTTTTTTAATTATTTTTCTAATTTTCATAAATTAATGAATTTAAATTATTTTCTTATCAAAAAAATAATGAATAATAATATACTGATATTATTTTATAAAATTTAATTTACATTCTATCAAAAAATTAGCTAAATATTTAACTATTTTAATATCATATTCTTTAAAATAGTAATTTTTTATATATCATTTATTTTTTAAAAAATCTATAATTAAAAGATAATTTATATTTATTCTTAAATTATAATAATATATTTTATTTTTATAAGATTTTTTTTTTTAAACTTTAGAATCTTATTTTATATAGATACATATATTGCAAGATGATAATTTTTATAAATATTTAATTGGCATTTTTTATTTTTTCAAATCTTTTTATTTTTTAATTAATTTTTTTGTCTACATATGTTTTGAGTCAAATGTTCCTAGTTTTGAATTTATTGATTCTTTATGTTTTTCAAGAGAATGTTTAACTAGAATATGATAGGTAATCAAAATATATGACTAGGATATTTTTTATAAAAAAATAATTAAATAAAAGAATTGAGTTATATCTTACTTTGAAAATTATATTGCATTTAAATTATATATTATGTACTTGTATACTTCTTATTTATGTTTGTATTTTAATATTTTCTAATTATATTTTAAGTAAAATTTGGTATTTAATTCTCTATCTTATATTAAAAGTATTTTATATAAAATAAATAAAATTACTTAAATCATAATATTTTTTCATGTAAAGTAGCTATATATTTGTATTTTTGTATAGAAATACTTTTTTGAAGAGTGAGCAATATTATTAGTATGTGACAATTTTGACTTATAATAATCGCCTATAACCTTTTTTAAATTTTATTATACTTTTTAAAAATCTTTTATAGCTTTTTGAAAGCTTTTATTGTCTTCTAAAAGCTTCCATAGTTTAAAAATAACCACTACTATTTTTAAAAACTTTTATAAAAACTTATATTAATATATAAAGTCTTTTGTAATTTTTTTAATATCTTCTATAGAAGATTTTATGACACTTAAGTCTTATAAAATAAATAAAAAAGAATATTAAAGTGTGCCTTAGGAACACTTTATACCTAGAAGCCCACCTTAAGAGTCTATAGTTCAAAAGCCTTCATAAGATCCTCTGCCTAGCAAAACAAAGTCCTCATTTTGAACCATATGCTTTGAATATGGTGTAACATGAGAAGAGGGTATAAAATAGACAAAAGTATTTTTTTTTTACATGTGTAAATATGTCAATCCATATGGTTCTTAATTCCAAGAATTATAAAAAGTATAAAAAACTTCATTTCTTACCTTTTAAATGGTAGCATTTTTTATAAAAAATTTAGAATTTTTCAAAAATTACCTCTTTAAGATAGATCCAAATGGATATTCTGAAAGACAACATTATTCATGCCTTGTAGGAAAAAAAATCCAATATACCTCATCTTTTAATTGTAGAAGCTTTGAGATTATGTTTTTAAAGCCATCCCAAACATACTACTTGATATTAGTAAATCAAAAAAAAAATTAAGTTGTTACTTCTTAACTTGTTCCTTAAATATAAAATGTTCTCTAAACTTGCTCAAATAATGAATAAAATAATAAAAAAAATAAAAAAAATCCTAATTTTTGTCAATATTTGTAATATTAATCTAAATTTTTATTATTTTTTCTTACATATAAAATTAAAGAAAATTTTGTATTTAAAACATCCAATAAAATTATTTTGTAATAATACTCATACTTAATTACTTATGATTTTTTCTTTTGGAAATTCTATGATTTCTTTTTTCTTCTATATAATCATTATTAAGATAGTAGTATAAACATAAAGGTATTAATATTAAATATATATTATTATTATTATTATTACATATGTGTATATGTATTATATAAAACATCTCTAAGAGACAACAAGAGGATACAAAAACCATCTCTAATTGGCTACATGCATCATTGTTTTTGTCAAAAGTGAAGCAAAAATGTGGAATTAATTTAACTTTTTATCAATCAAAAATCAAAATTTGCATGTTGTTACTACAAATTGTCAATATTACTAGGTATTTACTATGCATTGTTGAATTTTTGCATGTAGAAAGATGAAGCAAAGATTTGTTTCTCAAGGTTGTACTCAAGATCTCTTTTGATGAAACTGCACTATTTCAGTGAAGTTATGGCACTATCCTATATTTTTTTGTAGAGGACCATACTAGAGACAGCTTCTTTAGCAATTTTGACATGTTGATTTACGAGATTATTTTTTGAGGTAATGTCTAATAGCATATTATATCAAATATATCTCAAAATTCAATCGTGAACATGTTTACTAGTTAAATCCTACCAAAAACAAGCACATAATAAATATTGCTAATATCATTAATACAATATGACTTCTACTTGTATTAATTCAAGTATAAAAAAAACTAGTTTAATTTACTTTGAAATAAGTAAAAAACCCAACTTAGACAAATATTCAAATACCTATTCTAGAATGGAAAACAATCTTGCAAACAAATCCTTATTTATCATAAGGCCCTTCCAACCTTACATGGATCCATTTCCTCTTCTTTCTTTCTTTCTTCATTCCTTGTCACTCTTCCCAATCCTATGTACTCTACATATCTTCCCTTGTAGCCTTTGTTATTGCATATACTAAGAGCATTATGTTATGCTTAGTGATGGATAAGGGTGTAGTCCTTTGAGCAAATATCATCCGTTACAACCTCATCTCTGGTACCCAACTATGGCTATTGGCGGCAATGAGGTATATGGGTTTGAAAGTAGAGGTTTCCACTACTTGATGTTGGTTCTAATGCTTAATGTACACAGCAATATCTTGAACAACAGCAGAGTAGGACCCCTAGTGTAAGTTCATGCCAGTGGCAGTATTCTATGAGAGATATACTATTCTGTTTTATGTCGCTGCAATATCCTGAAAACAAACTCCACAGTGGCAACTGCGGTACGCTGTGTTAGTAGCCAGGCCTCAATCCAGAAGGGGTTAGAAATGGGATTTGAGGTGCTTCTGTAGGTTTTTTTGATGTTTTCAGAGGCCGAAATGTACTCCATGTTTCCGAATTGTGTGCATTGTGTGTACCTGGCCTCCAATCCCATCAGCCTTCCAACGACATCCACAACTGAACTGAATGTGAGGCTGCACTGTGGCAACGCCGAATCTATGGCCACCAAACTCTGACCACCATGTGCGATGCCAAAGCCGTCGCGAAATGGCCCTTATATTCCCGATTGGCGTTCCTCAGCCTCCCCCATGGTACTCTCTGCAGTCGTAGACTAGAATGTGAGACCCCTCTGAACTTTCACCAAGGATATGATGCCATGGTTGAGTTTGCGGGATAATCTAGTTCACACTTGAAAGCAAGGAAAAGGCCATCTTCATCGTGAATTCTGTACCTTATTGTGAGTATCCGTGATTTCATCTTACAGAGATACTGCGCATCCGTCTTCTTAGAGAATTGCCGACATGAACCATCTTACTCACCCCGAAAAACCGATCAAATCTATTCACTATCAACAGAGCAGACATGCTCTCCATAAACACTAACTTATGAATTGCATTCTGTTCCTGAGACGATTCTCCCCCAAGCAACTTCCTTACAACACAGCACTACTGGACGCTGGGTTACACTTTGTCAATCTCTCGTCCTCGGATACGGCACCGCGCAACACAATCTTAAATATCTATTCTTAATCATAGAATTCATTAACCTTGAAAGCATTTTTCACGACAACAATGGTGCGCAACTAAACGTTGATTTTTCAACCATCTAGAACTCTTGAAGACAAGGCAAGTGCTCCGCTGGCCTGAAAAACGAGACATATAAATCTTCAACATGAATCCAGCGGTTAGACGATGAGTAGCCTGATTGTTCAGATGTTGGGCAGATATGGCTTGCTTTCTACTTTATCTTTCATTACGATACAGACAATTAAGACGTTGGGTCTACTCATATTCTAGAAGTCTCTGACGATTGCATGAGAGAAGTGAATATGTGAAAAATTCCCGTGATGATTGTCAGGTTACGCCTTACCGAATCTACGTAATCATGCCCATGACACATCGTTCAATTCTCTAATGAGCGTGGTAAGGTGTGTTGTACCAAATTTAGACACAGATTATTACATGATTTTTTGAAAGTTATAAACTTGCTTTTCAGGAAAACGTCTACAATAATTAAAAAAACGAAGACTTACATGACATGACATGACAAAACAAAGAATTACGGCTTACCTCAAATCAATAGACAGCAGCAAACCCCACTTCAATTGACATCGTATCAAAATCTGAAACCTGGAATAGCCTCAAAAAACTGATAGAAATTGTCCATCGGTTCAGATCACCAATTTTACTCTTAGTCACAACAAGATATGAACCTTATAAATATTACTTGAATCGGGAAAGGATAACCGATGGTGATTGAGGAGACAGTTATAGCAGTCCTCTACCGCAAATTCACTTTGCGTATCAACATACTCCTAGAGCTTTCATCGAAAGATATATAATCAACATTACCAAAATCATCTTCCGGGCAGAAAGTTCCTAGATATGGAATGTGAAGAGGTCGAACGTGCTCAAGCTGTGTGCAAAATGAGAATAAGCAAATCTGAAGTGGCCTTGGAGTAGCCTTAGCGATTGTTGCACTACATTGAACATATCGATCTTAAAGAACAGGAGGGGTCTTTTCCTGAACGTCACATGTTATACAAAGGACGGTCGGTCCACGCACCCGCCACATGACCGTTTTCGCAGACGTATGCTCGAACCACGGGTTCGCCATCCTCATGATACTCAAAGGAACGGCGTAAACAGAAACTAGTTACCATGTCAAATGTCTTCCGCGAGGAACAGAAGGCACACGAAAGGTTTGTGTGCCTGCATCCCTGATCCTTGAGGTTTCTCCAAACATGTGATTGTTTGAAGTTCTTGAAAATACCTCGAAAGAGCTTGTACACTCGTTTCTCTCCTTGATGACAACACCCTGGCCAATCGCAGATGAAGAGGCTATCGTCTCGGAACCTGCCAAAATATCCAAAGTTTCGCAATTGAAGCTCGCCAAGCTGAGACGTGGTACGAAACGCTTCTACATGTAGAAATGAGAGAGAGAGAGAGAGAAGTCTAGGTTGTGGATCGGAGAACTAGGGTTGGAAAGTAGTCTTTCTAATAGAGCTCGTAGAGAAGTGTCTATGCCGAAAATTGATTCCTCTTCGAACCTGACTTTAACGTGATGCCATCTCACTAGAAAACGTTACTATGTGAACTGGATAGTGTACAACGACATGATGAAATGAGGGGACTTGTTTTTTTACCTGCTTGCCAGCAACTTGTTGCCCTGTTCGCGCGTCAAACTCCAGGAACCTTTCGCAAGATGTGCACCTTTGTGGTTATCATTACAATCATACTCACCGTTCCCAGATGTTTCTTCGAGTAGTTTGTTAACTGGTGGTTGGTGAAGATCGGCAGCCCCTTGATGGCTTACGGGTTCGATACGCCTATAGCTGGACAGAATTCTGTGATCTTGCATTACCTTGTTGTGGTAATGCAGGCCTCCTTGCTTCATGTGCTTGATCGGACCGTCAGCTCTGGTACCCTCTTCACCAAACTCAATCATCTTCTTTCGTTTAAAACCTAAGGTGGTAACACTCTCAATGGCAGGCTCTGAGGGAACTTGCTCCTTGCCAACAGATGTCGAAAGATCGGAAGAAACAACAGAGTCAAAACCTCGTGATGGCTCTGATTGATATTGGGGGTAGTATTCATCAGAACTGCCGAGCTCACGGTCGAGACCAAAGTCCCAGCTCTCAAGCATTACCCCGGCATGTTGGAGACCAGGACAGCACACAAGAATCTTCTGCAAACTACCCCAACCTCCAGGCGGCTCGCCAAGTAGGTCGCGCTTCTGCAGTTGTTGCGACATAAGCTCATTGACCACAGTAGGCACCACACGCATGCACTGGTGGCGCCAGCAGTTGGTTCGGATCACATTCTTAAAGCGGCGGCAGACGCATGCCAGACGCGCTAGGTCACGGGGGTCTTGCTCAAGCCGCGCAAATACGTTCACGAGAATATCCTCTGAAATACGACTGAAGAACGGCAAGCTATTAGGATTAACCGGCTGCGGCTGCTTGAAGACAGGGCACGGTGGTGAGGAGGATGTCGCTCCCGCCGCCATAACTACACTCCTCCACGACAGAATCCTCGAATATTCGGTGAGAGAAACAATGTGCGCGCCAGAGACGCGTCTCTCGACCGTTTCTTGCGACAGAAGTTGCCTCTCATGTGTCCGCTAAGACATGCAACAAATGATCAACTCTCAGAATTACAAACGCTCGCAAAGAAATATCCCTCACGCACGTAAAGCCACCACGCCGTGACAAATCAACAGCGAGTCCAATGTGCAGTCCATTCATGAACAGCTGCTCAAATGTGAAGCTGTACGCAACGCACCAAGATGTATCAATTCCCAGAACGAAAACCACGATTGCACCCGGCGTGGCAGAAATATCTAAAACTATTTCACCACACAGCCCCAAAATAAGGCCCCAATTCATTCGTTGCAAAAATTCAATTTCTTGCCAACCAAGATAGGCTCGGCATCACTCTCGCTTTCCCCTCGCGACCTCTACATTCGAAAATAACAGCCCGAGGCTACATGAATCCACTCCCATCTCATTCCCAAACGCGTCAAACTCTGTAACATGCAATTCCAAAACACCCAATCCCAACCCGCACTACACCTCACCAGCACTTTTTCTCTCTCCCACTCCGCAACATCCCCACTCACTCCACCACACGCTTCACAAAACTCAGTACAAAAAAAGAACGACAACCGAGCACAAAAAAACCCACGCACCGAAACTCAATCTCCACACACAGCAATGCACGCGAAACCAAAAGCAACGCACCGAGAAGCAAGATCCTAGTGCAGACTGCACCCTCATGCGACCCAGAGAAGAGACAAGGCGGGAGCCAGCCAATTCGGGAAAGGGGGTCCGTCCGTCTGCATAGGGTTTCAATCCTCTACCCCCGCGATGGCAATGGCGAAGAGGGAGGGCAGGCGTGCAGTTGCCGGTGCATGATGCATGCAAAAAGCAGTGTCAGTCAGGCAGCAGCGAAGGGGGGCGAAGCGTCGAGTTGGGTCGTCTCCGAAAGTGGGCAAAAGTGGGCACAAGCGAGGTGCGAAACTGAGCGAGGTGCGAGTACCCACCAATTACTATTCGGGCACTTACTTCACTTCACTGCTCTCTCCCTCTCGAGACCCCCGAGACACATCAACTCCCCCCCCCCCCCCCACCTCCTCCTCAATTCCGGCTCGTGGTTGGATAAGCCAAAAGCCAGGGCCAGCATTGGCTGAGCGAGCCTGAGCAGGCAAGTCAAAGCATTGAGGGGAGTGGGGGAGCATCTATATATCTATCTATCTCCCTATAAGAGTTGCACTCTAGGCATGATAATTTCCTTCACTCCGACTCTCATGTCTGTGGATAATCTGGCTTAAGTTAACCCTCTTTGCTCTCTTTGCTGCGTTGCCTGTGCCAAATCCATGCATCTCCTCTCTGTCTTTCTCTTTTTCTGCACTACATGGAGTCCTTTCTGCACTTTCCATATTATGCTGTCTCTGAAGGTAGATACTTCGTCTTTTTTCTCTTGTAAAATCCAGCGGCACTTCGGGATTCCCTCCAATGGTGTGATGTGGGGGGGGGGGGGATGGCAATAAAAAAAACGTATTTTGAGGATAAATAAATGGGAGTGAACATGTGAATATAAGTGAATGCCAAGTACATGCACCAACAACTACTTACTTTGTCACTAGGCTTTGGCTGAATTTTTATTTTTATTAACTACCCCACCTTCTTGCCTGGTCACTGTCCTGGGTTTTACCTTGTCAATGGAGAAACCTGTAAGAGAGAAAAATCTCCAAACGGTGGCAAAGATTTTTTATTTTTTTAATATATTTTTTAAAGTAACAGTAGCGTTTTTTTCTGACGCTTTGTATTCACAGGCGCTCTTTTTATTTTTTGAGGCGTAGGATAAAGGAGTCAGAAGCCTCCCCCCTTAAAAAAAAAGGAAAAGCAGGTCCTGTGTGGGTCTCACCATGATTGAGAGTCTGAAACTCTGGAATCCACACATTGTTGGTTGATGTGGATGCGATGGGGACCAATAAAAGCAAAGTCCAGATAGGGACCAAGCTAAAAGCCCACGAAAAAGTGCTTTGCATACTTACAACACTGTCCTTTTTATCATTTTCCTATCGTCTGCAGTAAGTCAGAAATTTCCCTTGTGGGATGCATTTATGGGTCTCATATCAAAACTCATTTTCACCTTTTAGTTTTCGAAACAGGTCTTAAAATGGTGCATAATTAGAGGTAGAAATTAGGTGTTAGGTTTCCACACCTAATGGCTTCTCAATCTTACTTTGTGCTGTCGAATTTGACTCCACTTGCACAATACATCAAAAACCTTCAAAAATCCATATGTTTGTCTCATGATCCTTAACAAGCAATGAAACTTATACACGCACAATAAGTTAAAGTACACGTACAATTCAAAGGAGAACCGACGTGCATGACGTAAAAGGGTGTGATTCCCCAGTTCATTGTTGCACAGATTCATGAACCCTCTATTCATCATTAAAAAAAAAGAAAAAAGAAAAAAGAAAAAAAAGAAAAATACTGAGATTCAGAAGTTCATTATAATTCCCAAAGAAGAAGATTGTGGTAGTGTGGGTGCTCTGAGCACAGAACTGAGACCTTGGCAATATTGATCCGTGGAATGGAGACATGAAAGATACTTTAAATAGGGTAGCTTTTGGATTACAGGGGGGGGGGGGGGGGGGACAGGCTCCAGAGCAGTTAAATTCATTACCCCTGATATAGGGGAATCATATCTCGGGAAGCAGGGCGGGAGATAACAGTCTGAGGGGCGATGACGAATCCTAGAGTTCTGCGAGGGCAATGAACGGCTCTGAACTGGCCATGCGAGCTTGTGGATGTCGCGGCGATGGAACTGGTTGCGATCCAGCCTTCCTGATTCGTGATTGCACAGAATCGCCACTGGCGGCAGTCCGTTTCTTCTCACTGTCCTTTGATTCCCTCAAAGACTGGCAGGCCATCGACGTGGACCAACCCACGGTCTGCTGGACATGGACTCGGATGATTTGTCCAAGGTTTCGTCGCCTTCCAACCAGATGTCGTGACCCAACTACTCTTTCGCTTTTGCTCCCCTGAAAGCCTCGTCCACTGTGTCATTGCTCATTGGTCTGGAGTCCAGAACAGCTTTTGAAGATATCCTTTGGATTGGTGGCTAACTGAACTCAGCATTGGCCAGGCCTGTTCCATAACCTCCAATTGGAGCTCTTACCTTCTGTGATAGCTTGGAGTCTTGCGTTCAGCGCGTGCTCAGTCTCCGTTTAGATTGTCACCCCGAGGTAACCCCTCTCGAGTGAGTAAATTCCGATGCTCATCAGGTGACAACGCTCCGCCCACGTCTACGTCATTGTAGTTATCATTGGATTGTTGAAGCTACAAAAAATGATCTACGCTTAGGGATAAGGAATTTAAATGGAAAACGTGGACCTAAGTATGCTAAAACCACACACTGACAACAAGATTGAGGCTACAGTTACTTCATCAGCTCGTTAATTAGCAAGTTTGTTCGGGTTGTATATTTGAATATCTTCATCCGGAATAAGCGTTCCTTTCATTAAAAGACAACTTTCTCAAACATGGAGGGCTAATTGTTTGCTTCACGAGGAATTCGGAGATGAGAGACCATCATCCGTCAACATTAATCGGAATATCAGTGACCGCAATGTTCAGCAAATCTTGATCGGCAAAACGCTCACAGAAAGATACAATTAGCACTTTTTTTCATACTTTACAAGAGGCACAACTCTTTGCCTTTCTATGCACAATAAAATTCTTAATAAAGAAAAGAGACTGCATACACGTGACCTTGACATGCCATAAGGAGCTAATAAAGGCAACTATTGGAATGAATGACATAACTAAAGTTCATTTCGAGTCATTGCGACGAGCAGCCCTAAAAACAGTTGACCTCAAACGCTGCCTAAATGTATCAAGTCTGCTGCTGTTTGTTGATGCAGTAACCACATGCCGTACAGCTTCATTCCTGCTCTTCTGCTCCGCTTCCTTTGTGTCTACATCATGAAGAGAAGCTGCAATAGCCTCAAGAACCATCTGCAACAGAACCCAAAAATTCCCCATTGTAATTGTCATTACATTCCGTAATGTTTGTGGTGTTCAAATGAAGGATTCAACAACATAAACTAAATTTTAACTTGTTTCTAATTCATGTAGGACTGAAAAGCTGATCAATCAAAAAAGGTAAAACAGATGATCAAAGCATCTCTTCAATGTCTGCAGCAGATGAAGTTTACCCGGTCTTCATCGTCAGAATTGGAAGGTGCATAGGCAAATGACTGCTCACAGCTGGGAGAAGCATGTCCAGCACCAACAACACGAGGAGCCCAGCATTTGTCACCCTCATTCAATGACATGGTGTTGGCATGGCTGGGGTGATCTGCATTCTCAGACCCCTGCAAAGAACAAATCAAGGGTTAGAATAAACCATCACGGTTTCCCAGAGCACGTAACAGTAGACCAGAACTGGACGAACCACTATACAGATTAATCTCCAATAGACTACAAACTGAATAATGAGTACCTCTGTGAAAGAACACGTGCCTTCGAACCCATCGCTGTCGATATCTTTGATGCTAGAAAGATTGTCGTTGCCCGTGAGTTCCACAGGTACCTGCACAAGCAACTTAATTACTTAGGATCTCACAGCAACTGGAACGGAAAGCACTCAATACCTTTCATAACTTATTCCACAAAGAAAAAAATATCCAGCAATTTGAAAACAAATACCATCCACAGTAGATGAAAATCAGGGAGGGAAAAGTGTGAAAGAAGTAGCTGGCTCACGAATACTACAGGAGAAGATGAAAACATGTATAAAGGGCAGGACAATTAGCTGTTCGGAAGTGACACAGAACATTAAAAGACCCTTACCACAGTTCGACTCATCTGCCATCGTGATCGTGTTTGTGAGAGTGATTCCTCTTTGGACTCTGAACCTAAGCCTGTTCCAAAATCCCCAAGTAGAGGTGAAACACTAATTATTATGCGGATACGTTGTTTTGTGTATGTATAATTCACACAGTTGTGACCAAAAGTTAGAGTTAAACATCTGACAAACAAGTACGTACGAAAGGTAAAGTATATTCTGAAGCAAAGTCGCGAGTTTGGATTTGAGTTTTCTCAGAAAGATATGCCCAGAAGTTGGGTTGAAAAACGTACTGTTGGAGCTAGTACAACCAGCAGGAGACGACCCAGTGTTGGAGGAAGATGGTCGGACTGCCCTCAACATCTCAAACAGGGTATCCTATAATGAACAAAATATTTCAAACGAGTTATTATTGAAATATCTCATATACCTCAAAATAACACAACATACTCGTTGAGATTTCTAGCTGCAAACGCTGCAATTTTGAAAGTCATAATGTGAAAATCAGTACGAGAAAACTTACCTCATCTACATCATTAAGATCCAGTGCATCATCATAGAACTGTAGTTCAGGTACAGCTTCTGGAATAACGACTAGTGCGTCAGGAGGTCGCAAAACGTTATAGAGAAAGATCGCGATGGAATCATAGTAGAACTGAGGCCGTGGGGAATTATGGTCACCATCAAACTTGATTATGTTCTTGTCACCCTACATCGAACGATCATATTGCATTTAATATTCAAATAAATACACTTGATACGATTAGAAATGCCTGGAAGTGATTCCATTAGACTTACTCGTACAGAGTTGTTCTTGTATCTAGAAGTTGGAAGTAGATTACACTAGACGTATCCATATACTGAGAGGGCAGTGAAAGTGTTCCATTCTATGAATGAGAACGTCAATAGTCAAGACGTTTAGTCTCGGTAACTTGATCCGAAAAGTGTTCGGCAAGCTCAACTTCCTGTGATGTTGGGACTTTCAATAGCAAAAGCAACCTCGATCTTTTTATCGCATTTACGCCTTAAAACAAAGTGGAGAGAAGCATAAGATAGAAAGCATTGGGAGGTGAGACTTACTATATAATCCTTAAAAATAATTTCAGAGTGACGAGAATGTATGAAGGCGTCGTCTGTTGCATGCCCAAAAAGAGCCGGAATAAAACATTTCTTGGCCACCTAGAAACAATGAACACAAAATACAATTCTTTACAGACACGCAAAAGCTACTTGAGAATGCATCACTGAAGATCTAGAGAAAATCAAACACCGTGAAGAAACAAGACGAAAAAACCCAGTTATTCAAGATACGTATAAATTGAAAACTTGATGTATGCTCTGTCCAACTAAAAACGAATAAAAGAACAAGTCTTATTCAAAGCCTCATGCCACAGCTGTGTATTCGAGAAAACGCCTTGGTTTTACAATTAATTAGTGGAATATGTCCTCCAAATTCCAAGGATGATGTTACACACTTCGTCTCGTGTGCATTCACTGATTTTAGAGTAAAAAAAAGAACAAGATGCGAATATGAAGTTTTCCTGCACTAACCGGTACTGCGTCAAGGTCCATGATGTCAAAATGGGCCTTCTTTTGTATGGCCTTCCGCATGTATTGCACAGCCACCTTTACCTGAATGCATGAAAAACATCAGCATCCCATACTTGTGAAACATACTGAAACGGAGATTGTCATGTTTTCGAACTGAAACGAGGAGGCTGTCATTACTCCCAACATGCATATTCTATCTGACATAATGTTGTTTGCATGTCTTAGATATGATAAAGAGTGAATAAACCCAACATTAAACCTTAAGCACAAACAGTATTACCGTGAACTTTGGAAGGCGAATCTTGTACACATCAACAAGTTCCATCATGAGGTTGTTGAGATTTGCAAAAGGGCTGTCCAGGACCATGCAAGCTATGGATGGGTCTTGAGCTCCATACATAAGGCTGCAGTAGACAACAAAACTGTCTCAGGTCACATAAAAAGCTCCTAAAAGGAAATGCTTGATGCGACTATGACATTCAAAATTACGCAAGAAAATACGCATTGAGAATCTATGGATGCTCTTGTTTATGCAAACCCTGAAGCATGGCAGAAGTTATTATGTAGGTGACTCCAAGCATAACTCACACGACAATATTTCATGGATCGTGAGTGCAGTGAACATAGTACCAGGTGACAGCCCCCATAGATCGACCCCATAGACCAATACGAGATACTTTTTCGTCAGTCCGCAAATGATTTACAACCGCTTTTAAATCATCCTTCTGTACACATTATAAACGATTCATTGCAAATCAGACGTAACCACATGAATGCCCCATGTTTTTAGCTTTGATATGGGGCATCTTTTTGTATTAGACAACTCTCATTCTAAACTGGACTAGGAGAATCCATATTAAACTGACGGGGAAGTAAGTACGACGCCTAGAAAACCTTTCTGCATAAATGCTTAGAAAATTGTTATTCAAAAAAAAAAAAAAAAAAAAGAAAAAAGAAAAAAGAAAAAAGGAAGTTCATCCCACCTAGAAGGAAAGAAAAACCTTTCAAATAAATAGTAATAATAAGCACTGTCTTAGTACCTCATTCCAGCCCAAGCTGACATAGTTGCCATCAGATAAACCTGAGCCTGAGAAGTCTAACGTAAAAACCGTTATATTACATGGCAGGAGTACAATGGCTGCTTCATTTGCATCAGCTCGGCAGCCACTGCACATTTACACATTCATATACATATATCATAAATTACCTAAACCAGGAAACATAGAGTAATAGACTGCCGTCTATTTTAATCGCTTCCCGCGATATGCTTTACCAACCATTGCAGATCACCTTAGGACTAGAAGGGTGCACCAAAAAACTCAACAAAAGAATACTCAACAAATTAAGGGGCATTTTGCAAATAAAAAAATTCTGAGGTAATTTGAAAAAAACAACAGAGAATAAATCTGAAACACAGACGTGAAGAATGAAGTAATTTGTTACAGTTAGCAATCATACAGTTATGACTAACCTGTTGCCATGACAGTAGATAACGCAAGGAAGTGGTTCATCTTCGAGCGGAGACAGGGGAGTGTAGTGACTACATTGTAGTACATGCCCTCTGCTATTCAAAACCTACAAGATATTATGTAGCAGAAGCAGACTAGTGTTATACTAACTGGGACTCATTCTTTGGAAAGGCTTTACTTATTGAAGGTATCTCGAAATGTAAAAAAAAACAAAACAAAACAAAATAAAACAAGAAACATAATTAATTAAACCACCGTATGCTAAATACCAAGCATCTGTGCATGCTTATAAGGCCTCATTGTCCAAAGAGTAGAAAAAGATGAGCAATAATTTAATTTTTAAAGATTAAAATTTGGACCTTTACTTGGCATGGTGACACTCAAAATGTTCAAACCAACCAGAAAGTAAGAGAGAACCTGCCTGAAGGTCTTTCCGCGTGAACTTCCGACTTTTGAGAAGAAATTCTTGCGAAAGTAAGTCAAAAGATGGACTATAATCTGCTCTGCGAAATCAATGAGAACCGTTCAAACACACATATGAGTAAGTGCAAAGTATTTTGGGCTCAAATTTAGAGATGGTCATCATCATCATCCATATTGTTTGTGCATGCTTCTGACATCCTTGAAAAAACTGCATTACAACGCTGTTAAGGAGACGCTTACTGATGACTATTCAACACCAGTATCGAGAGATTACTTTCAGAAAAATGCACAATATACAAGAGCAACATACGAACCATAAAATAAAACAATTATTAACAAATGATAATGAGAGTCATATTTAAATGTCATTAACAGCAGGAAACAGGAATGTTTTGAAATAAAAAAGTTACCTTGGAGGCCGTATCACGAAGTTCACTAATTGTTCCATCATTCTGTTGAAGAAGATTATGTAAAGCACTTTAACAGCCACCCTTATAATCCTCCTACTTGTTGTCAGAGCTCATCAGCGAGACGATTCGAAATAAACGAGAAATCTAGCCTCTTTTTCCCATCCTCTGAGGCTCCATCTTGCTCAAGTTCCCCAGAACAAGCCATTCCTAACCCCAAGTAACCTCAACTAGCTTTAGTAGCGTAGCCATAAGATTTTCCCGTGATCCACCCACACGACCTACGAAACCTCCAAGCTCGCAAAACAACCAGAATTGTTTTTATCACTTCCCCGACCTACTTTTCCCATCAATATTCCTACCTTAATCTGGCTTTTGCACAATCGCAATTCTAGCATGCCGCTGGAAGCAGATTTCCAGATGAGAACTGTTCTCCGTCAGGAGAGTCCAGAATCCCAAACTCGTATGTCTTTCCACTTCGACGATTTTGCGAACAGTCAACCAACATAAAGGATTCTTGCCTCTGCTAGAGTAAAGTGCAAATGATCCCGAAGCGGTCACTGAACCTGCTTTCATCTGAATCTTTCATGGTGTGATTTGGAAAACAGCAACATCACCCGAGCCTGTGAACTAATTCTCGAACGCTGTCCTTTCAGCTGTCTAGCATCCTCTTCCTGCGCTTGATTCAAAAACAAGTACGCAAGTCAGTGTTGTATTAGCTATGACTTCCAAGCTCATTTACAGATTGCTTGGCAACGTTTAGTTCTTGACCAGTCTAACAAGAATGTTCAATGTGAAATTAATACTCGCTTCATCTTTTCTTGACCAAGAAAGTTTAACTATGAAAATTAAGGCGATAATCACTGCACGCGCTCGCACCTCTCCGAAAAACTATACATGAAGACGAGACATAAGCAACACCAGTACCAAGACTGGAAGCGAAACACATGAAGCTCTCATGAGAAATGGAAAATGAAAAACATAAAATAGATAGATAAACAAAAAACATAACCCGCGAGGCCCAGAAACAGGCATGTCCCTGACCTTCACTGGCAAAAGACCTGATAAGTGGAGTCAGGAACCAGAGTAATTGGCGATGTACCAACCCTAGGCGAAAATTTGACAGGCAAATCATTCACTCCCTCAATAAGCATTCCCCCGCCACACAACCAATACAACTGTTTCTCCACCACAAAACTTCCAAAAAACTCCAGTGTCGAGTTTACGAAACAGTCTCTCCTCTTAACACTCTTCCGAACCTCGGATCACATCCATCACACGTCACACCTTCCCTTTCTAAAACACTCCAGCCCGCGCGAAAGCGGCTTCACGCCAACAGATGCGCAGTGAAAGCCACCACGCTCGAATCAATGCCCTCACAATCTCATAATCTCTCAATCCACATTATGCTGATAATTCTACAGCCCCGCTGACCGTACCTACAAACCCGTCTTGAACGACGGTCCCGCAGCCTCAGCTCAACAAAGCGACCAGATGGACCAACCAGAGGAGATTCGGGGAAAGATGAGACAAACAATGTCGCATCACTTGGACCAACTACGAGCATGCCTTCATAGACCACTTGGACCCGCTGGCGCAAGTAACACTCATGACCTGCTCCCCCATTCAAAACCGGCAATGAGGGGAGAATCCAGCGCTAGCGGTAAAGCAAAACCACCAGGAAATCCAACGGCGCAGGAGCTGGATAGTAGCCGAGATTGCGGAGAAGAGCAGAAAAACGCAAGATTCTTGCGCGTATAAAACACCAAGTGACGAAAAAAAAACACCAATCTGGCGGAGGAGACCAACTCGTCATGACCAACCAGCACCACAATTACTCCATTGAAAAGGAGACGGAACACCAAAAGACGAAATTCACGGCTCCCGTCACCGGCGGTGCAGGTTTATGCTCTCCACCTCCTCCTCCTCCCCAGGCAAAATAATTTACACCATCGCCTCCATGTTGTCGGCACGGCTGTTGCTACCTTGACCTCTCAACCTTCCTTTCCTTCCTCCTCTCTTTCACTCCTTTTGTTTGTGTTTGTGTTATTATTATTATTATTATTATTATTATCATTATTATTTTTTAATTCTGGTGCCCATCACACTTCTCATTCGGAACACACAACTGCACCATTAAAGGTCGAATCGAGGACATGACAAAGTATGGGCCCACGGAACAGCTTCCCCCCTGGCCCCCAGGCTTTTGCCCCCCGCCCCTCCCCAGTCTCAATTGATATCCTGTCCCTCTATACCGGGCAGGTTATCTTGCTTCCGATAGTCGTGCTAGTGCCTCGCTGGCAGCGGTGTCAGCATGGAATAATTTCATCGTGGTGACTGCCACCTGCGGGTCATTGGTGGAGGTTGATGTGTGAACGGGGCCAGGGGGTTTTGCAAAACTGTGACACAGCTGGCTTTATACAGCTGGCGGATTCAGGGTTGTGGATTGGTGGGCACGTTGGAATGTTGACCTGGCACCTCGAGAGAAGATGCTTTTGCTTTCCTGGCTTGCCACGTAGGACGACGAGTTCGAGGAAGTTGTCTTTTGGCTTAATTGGGGGCGAGCAAGAGTTTAATATTTAACCTTTTGGACCAAGATGTCAAGACGATACCATTCTGTTTACATTTTATTTACTTAAAATAATTAATTACCAGAAATTTAATTGAATAAATGATTATTTTGGAAGATATAGTTTGATATCTACAATGTTTTCTTTTCAAAGCATTGAGTTCTTTGACAAAAGGTTAAAATTTGTTGTTCGAAAATCATAGAATACTTGTAATATGTTGCAATTTTTTCTCAATTTCATATTTTATAACAAGTTCCAAAACAGAGCAGAGATCTCAATGGAGCATAATAGTACCCACCACAAAAAGTTAAAATAATTTCTTACAATATTACTTTCTTTGGTGGCATTGTACGTATATTAAAACATGGTTTGAAGTATGACACTCAATGATTTGAAGATTGTGTGGTATATTAAAGAATTATTTGTCAAAATATAAAACAATAAAAGCATCTTATTTTAAATCACATATGAACACATGACTATAAATGATTTGAAATTTTACAAGTTTTTATCTCAAATATGTCTTTAAAAATTCATATTTCAATAATTCCTTTTAAAAAGTACGAAATGTTGAAAAAAATCACATTTACAAAGAATTGTATTTATTGATGAATTGTTTTATTGTTTATTTAAGAAGTGTTTTTATTACCACTTTAGTGACATAAATGGATAAAGAAAAAGTAACCATGTCTCTCTCTCTCTCTCTCTCTCTATATATATATATATAGATATATCAAGAGAGACTTTACTACATAGAAAGGTATTCTTTTAAATTTGTTTCAGAACTCATATATATATATATATATATATATATTAAAATATATACTTTAAAATATGCATAATTTTTAATTTATAATTGAAATAAAAATATATTAAATGTGACATATTTTACTTTCAATGTTGTTTAAAGAAAATATGATTGATTAGATTACAAGAAAAAATACAAAATACAAAAAAAATAAGATAGAAATAGTTTCAGAACAAAAATAATATGAAATATTGAAAAATATTGGAATATGATAAAATATCAAAATATATTATAAAATATAAAATAATTTAAAAATATCTAATCAATTTCAAAACTACCATAAATTCATGTAATTAAATATTATTTATAAATTAAAGGTTACATAAAAATAAAAATAATAAAAATAAACTAGTAAAAAATTGTAAAAAATAAATATAAAAAATTATGAATTAAAATATATATATATATATATATATATATATATATATATCAATTTTTTTAATAAAATATGTCTTATTAATAAAATACATTAGAAGAAAAAAAATATAATGTGTATTTCTAACAATTTAATTAAGTAAAATATATAAAATATAATAAAAGATAAAATAAGTTATAAGTGGTATACAATAAAAATTATAAATATGATTGATATTGTGTTCTATATCAAAAATTTTATAGCAATAATAATTTTTGGTGCATTCAATTATTATTGATTGAGAATTGACAACATTTTGAATAAAATATTGTTTTTTAATAAATATATTATATAATTTTGGTATTTGAGAAGTAAAATCCTTAAAAAATCTTAAATTATAGTCTTTTAATTTTTTCTCTTTTACTATATATTATAAAGATATATATTATCATGAGATATTGAAGCAAATATTTAAGAGTCTTTGCTAAAAATATTTATTTGATATTTATAAGTTAATAGAGTATGAATGACAAGAATCATAACAAAATCCTAAAAAAACAAAAATTCTTGTGATACTCCAATACTAATAAAGTCTATTAACTTATAAAAAATTAAAAGTATGAAGTTATGGATAATAATCATAGTCAGCAAAGTAAGATATTTGTTGAATAGAAGAATGTATTGTGATATTATAGACAAATTCTACCAATGGCAAAAGATTTATCCAATCATCTTAATAATAGTTGATAGTATATCTAAAATATTTTTCCAAAATTTATTTTTTTCTTTTTATTTGCACCTTAGTTTGATGTTAGAAGAACAAAAATTATTTTTATATTTACTCTCAATATCTTGAAAAAAATTCTCTAAAATTTAGATACAAATTGAGTCCTTCTATTTAACATAATATCATTTAGAGATTTATAATAAGAATATATATTATGAAAAAAGAATCTAATTGTTACTTTACTTGTGATAATCTTTGTATATGATAAAAATATATGTAATTTTAGTGAAGCAATCTAATATGAAAAATATTAAATTATAAGAGCTTGAAATTAAAAGATTCATAATAAAGTCTAAAGAAACAAATGACTACAGTTGTTTTTGTATAAGTAATGGCTAAAAAAGTCCTTAAAGCTGATGATAAGAAATTTTTAATTTTAAACAAACATCATATGATTATATAAATTCTTGTACTTCTTTTTAAATTTGACACCACTAAAAATCTCATAATATTTATTCAAAGGTCTTGTTGTATCTAAAATGTCTTACAATTAAAAAAAATTCAGAAGCTTAAAAAATATGTAATTGTATTTTATCTTTTAGAACATATAAATGTCCTTCAAAATAAATGAATCTATTCTTCAATTCAAACTTAGAAATATCATAAGATTTTAAAGAATTATTTTTAATATTATTCATAAGAACATGTGAGGACATAATTGCTTAAACTTAATCAAAAAATATTAAATCAGCATTAAATATAAATTTTATTGTTTAAATATAATTAAGCTAGAATCAAAAAAATTATTTTTTGTTCATCAAAGATTGCATTTCTTTCATTTAATGCAAGATAAGAATGTATAAAAAAGGCATTTAAAAAATCTTATTGGTATTTTCATTGATAAACAACATTGAATACAAATCTAAGTAAAGACATGCTCCAATGAATTTGATAATAATTTATATTACATGTTAAAATAAAATAGCTGAGATTCTTGTAAGATATATAAAATATCATTAGATTAGAAGCACCTTCTATATAATAGTGCCATTTTAAAAATAAATCCACACTTTTAAGAAACTTTTTACTATAGATCTCATTATTGATGTAAGTTGCTAAAAACTTTTTTTGAATAAAAAGCTAGAAGATAAAGTTTTTCATTTAATTCTATTTGTAATAATATTATACCTAAGGCAAAGTCTAATATATATATATATTTTATAAAAAATACCTTAGAAAAACTAACACAATATAAGATTTAGATTGTAACAAAAGCTATCTTTAAAGTTTCAAATACTACTTGAATTTCTTTATTCTACTCAATTTTATCTTTGTAAGTCAAATGTATAAGTAGAACTATAACTTTTTGATAAAAATTTGATAGGTATTGGCTAATTTTAAAAAATTACACGTCTTATATTATTTTTGGAATCTTTTAATTTATAATAATTGAAATTTTTTATGATCCACTATAAAACCATCATTTGAAATGATATATCCTAAGAAATAAACTTGAATTGTATGAATTACACCCTTCTCCATCTTGGCATATAATCTTATATTTCTAAATTTTTGTAACACATGTCAAGCATGAAGTTCACATTCTTATGTATCTATAGAATAGATTAAAATGTTGTTTAAATTAAAAACAAAAGAATCATCTACAATTCTTTAAAAAAATTATTTATTAAATATTGAATAATATTTGGTACATTTGGAAGTCCAAAATGTATGATATTACATTAAAAATGTCTATATTTGGTCCAAAATATAATCTTTTATTCATCTTTTTTTTTGATATATATCAAGTTATATGCTCTTAGTAGATCTAATTTTATATAGATATTTTCTTGATTTTATTAATCAAGATATCTTTATATAAAAGATAAAAAATTCTTATTTTTAATAATAGTCTTGTTAAATACTTGATAATTTACATACATCTATAATTATTTTATTTTTATT